ATAAAGTTATGAGAGGGTTTGGCTCTCGTAATGTTAGGAGGAAATTTGCCGAACATTTTCGTTCTTGTAACTTTACGATGTTTCTGTCAACGGTTTACGAGTTAATGGTAAGACTATTGTTAAGACATTAAATATTTTAATAATAAATAATAATAATATATTAAGAAATTTTGTTTCTGACAAGGGGCCCTAGGAGAGAAAGCTGTATGTGACTACTCACCGATGGGCTGCACTCGCTGGCGGACGGGAAAGGGAGCGCGTGCGAACTTGTCAAACACCTCCTCCTGGTTGCTGTCACGACCCATCAGTTCCTCTACACCGTACATGCCTGCCAGGCCAGACAACGGGACAAACAACATGGGCGAACTAAGCAAGCTAGACGTCAATATTAGTCAAATCATTATAGACAATGCATTAATCAGTAGCAATCAATAACAATGCCATGAGATCAATAGGCAATCAAAACATGCGATGAATCAATAGCAATCAATAACAATGCATTAATCAATAGCAATCAATAACAATGCATTAATCAATAGCAATCAATAACAATGCATTAATCAATAGCAATCAATAACAATGCATTAATCAGTAGCAATCAATAACAATGCATTAATCAATAGCAATCAATACAATGCTTATATCAGTAAGCAATCATAACAATGCCATTATCGAGTAGCAATCAATAACAATGCATAATCAATAGCCAATCAATAACAATGCATTAATCAATAGCAATCAATAACAATGCATTAATCACTAGCAATCAATAACAATGCATTAATCAGTAGCAATCAATAACAATGCATTAATCAATAGCAATCAATATATCAACGCGATAATCAATAGTCAATCGAATAACGAATGCATTAATCGAAGAGCGAAGTCAATAATAAGACATTAATCCACTCAGCAATCAATAAACAATTGCATAATCGGAGTGCAAGTCGGAGAGTAGACAATGCCATTAATCAATAGCAGATCAATAACAAAGCATATGACTAGCCGCAGTCAATAACAATGCGATTAATCAGTATGCAATCAATAACAAGCGATTAATCAATAGCAATCGAATACAATGCGATTAATCGACATGCAATCAATAATACAATGCCATTAATCAGTAGCAATCAATAACAATGCATTAATCAATAGCAATCAATAATAATATCTATCTCAATAAACAATGTATCCTATGAGACGTCAATCTTCGCGCTCGCTCCCCCCCCCCGCTCCCGACGACAAGTGAGCATGCTCGTTCCACTCCTCCCTCGCCTCGCCCGCCCTCCTGACGACAAGTGAAGCGATGCTCGCCCCACTCCTCCCTCGCCTCGCCCGGCTCCCGACGACAATGAGCGGTGCTCGCCCCCCATTCCTCCCTCGCCTCGGCCCGCTCCCGCAACAAGTGAGCGATGCTCTTCCACTCCTCCTTCGCTCGCCCGCTTCCGAGCGACAAGTGAGCATCTGCCCCGACTCCTCCCTTCGCCTCCCCCCGTCCGACGACAACGTGAGCGGTGCTCGCGCCCACTCCTGCCCTCACTCGCGCGCCCGCCCCTCCGACGACAAGTGAGCGTGCTTGCCCACTCCTCCCTCGCCTCGCCCCGCTCCCGACGACAAGTGAGCGTGCTCGCCCCACTCCTCCCTCGCCTCGCCCCGCTCCCGACGACAAGTGAGCGTGCTCGCGTAACTCACCGAGCAGCTGTTCGTCGCTGTCGTCCTCGTCCTCGGGCGAGCGCGCGTCCGCGTCGACCCCGCCGACCCCGAATGAGAACAGCGCGCTGCGGCTCTGGTGGATCGCGCTCGCCGCCGCAGCCTTCGTCGGGGTGCCCAGCGTTGAGCCGACCGACAGCTTGAACTCCGACCACTTGCTCGCGATGCGGGCCGCCGAGGCAGACCGCGCCGCGGACTTCAGCGCGCCGCCGACCGACGACAGCGAGTCCTTCCACGTGACGCCCCCTGGCGAGTCGGCGGCGGTCGCGAACGGGCTGAGGGCGTCGGTGGAGTCGGAGGCGCGCCAGGGGGCGCTGGCGTCGTGCGCGGGGCTCGAGGCGAGCGGCGGGAGCGAGTCGCTCTTCTGCGGCGGCGTGCGAAGCTTCGACTTGAGCCGGTCGATGTCGAGGTTGAGGGAGCGACGGCGCTGCGCCGACGCCGCCTCACCAGGTGGCGCTGCCGAACCGGACAAGTCGTCGGCCGACGCGGCGCTGTCCTGAGACAACATCGACCCGACGCTCTCCTTGCGCTCCGCCCCGTCCACAGTGGCGACCCCTGCCGCCGCAAGCGTGTCGCTGCTGCCCTTAGTCCTGAACTCGTCCGACGTGAACGGCTCGTAGACGAGACGCGGCGGCGACGTCGGCGTCTGCGGGCTCGACGGTGGCGCCCCCTGCGCGGGTTCGGCGAACAAGCCGAGCGGGTCGTTCTCGGTGACGGGCGTGCGCATCGGCGACTGCCGGCGCCCCCTGCCGGCGGCGTCTCCGTCGCCCTCCTCGACGACCGCCTCAAACACCTTGTTGACGGGACCCCTGGCGCCCTCTAGGATGCCGTTCTCGAGGACGCCGGGCCGTCGCGTGAAGCCGCTGAGAAGACGAACGTCACTGCCGAAGCTGGCGGTGCGCAGCATGGCGGCGCCACCGTTCTCCTTGTCGCCCATGTGCGTCTGAACGGACAGCGCAAACTCACCTGCAAACACAAGCCAGGTGGCTGTCAGCATCGACAGTAACTGTGTAGTTGTGAGATTACTACATTGTGTGCTTTCTACGTCATATTTTATTACATTCATGTTGCGCATTATATTACATTCATATATACATTCATATTATCTTGCATTGCTTTTGATTTCAACAACACGGACAAAGCGAGAGAGAGGGAAATAGAGAGAGAGAGAAGAAGAAGAGAGAGAAACAGAAAGCAAACGAGAGAAAGAAAAAGAGAGAATATGACCAGTGAGAGAGAGAGAGAGAGAGAGAGAGAGAGAGAGAGAGAAAGAGAGAAGCACAAAGACAGATAGACGAGAGAGAGAGAGAGTGGTGACAGACGACAGGACATGTAAGTAATATACAGTACACAATCTATTATCCGAAACCCTTGGGAACAGACACGTTTCGGAATTCTGAATTTTTCGGATTCGGATGGTAGTACAGTACAGATATTATAGATACCATATATCCTGCAACTAGCCAGTACTAAAACCCAAGTTTTCAAGAGGCCAAGTGATGTACCAGTGTGTACAATATGTATGCCAAACACATTACTATTTCTGCAGTGAACATTGTGCAGCCAAACGCGAGCTTTGGTGTGCAGACAACCTCCACAGAAAAACTTTCGGTTATACGATTTACTACGCGTAACTCAACCAACTTGAACTCAAATCGTACACAGTACATGCGCCTAGCATCGTGCGAAATCATTTCCTCGTATACACCCACTATACGGAGATAGACTAAAACGTACGACACGATTCTCCATTCTGTTGCCAGCAAAACGAATCCATAACCCGCCTAACTTGAAACAATAAGCAGCTACTAACGACTCTTGCGCACTCTTGTGCCCTCGGCGATGCGGTGTGGCTCGCTGGGAGATTGGACATCGACGCAACACTCGGCGAGCTAATCTTTGACCTAGTTAAAGCTGGCGTGCCCCCCACGCACGCACGCCCACCGCAATCAGCAACAGCTCCAGCTCCAATCTCCCAGCGAGCCACACCACATCGCCGAGGGCACAAGAGTGCGCAAGAGTCGTTAGTAGCTGTCTATTGTTTCAAGTTAGGCAGGTTATGGATTCGTTTTGCTGGCAACAGAATGGAGAATCGTGTCGTACGTTTTAGTCTGTATCTCCGGATTGTGGGTGTATACGAGGAAACGATTTTGCACAATGCCCGGCGAATGTACTGTGTACGATTTGAGCTCAAGTTGGTTGAGTTAAGCGTAGTAAATCGTAGGTATTCTAAGGCTAGTAAATGATGAATTTCCCTTGTTTATTGAAGTCACACTCCTTCCCTATTATCTACTTCTGATATATATTATCAAGAGCAGATAAAGAAGGAGAGCGTACAAGGGTAAAATGCTGAAACCATGCTGCAGTATTAGTCGAATTAATAAACTTGTCCCGTTTTATTTTGACGATCCTTTGCAGTATTATTGATTAGCTGTCTTACCTTGTTCATATCAAACAAACCGCATGTCCCTACGATGCCCCTACGCTGAGATAATAAGCGGTGAAAATCTGGTATTTTCGCCGAAACCCGACTCGAGATCAGTGTGAACTGCGTCCCTCTCCCGAAGTGTTATAACTTCGGGAAACCTCGCGTGTCCCGAATGACGTCTGTTATTGATTGCCATAGTGATGACGCCCACGCTGTGCCCACCTCACGCCCACCTCACGCTGGATGTATAGTAAACTCTGGTAGTATTACGTGAGTCAGCGCCACTATGGCGCGTACACAGCGCGACCGGAAGCAACACACTGGAAACACTTCGAGAGCAGTCGCAGTTCACACTGATCTCGAGTCTGGTTTCGGCGAAAATACCAGATTTTCCACGCTCATTATCTCAGCGTAGGGGCATCGTAGGGAACATGCGGTTTGTTTTATATGAAAGGTAAGGACAGCTAATCAATATACTGCAAAGGATCGTCAAAATAAAACGGGAAAAGTTTATTAATTCGACTAATACTGCAGCATGGTTTCAGCATTTTACCCTTGTACGCTCTCCTTTATCTGCTCTTGATATTATATATGTACATATATATGTATATATACACAATTACTGACGTTATCATACAGCAGGGGGGGGGGAGTCAACAGATGGGGTCAGATGGCTGACATATTGGTTGACTAAGAATTGCTTGTAAGTGTGGCAATATAAGAAGTTGCCCAACCTCCTTTAACTGAACAATTCAAAAAAAATTCTACAATCCGATACCCAATTATTACATATACAGGATTTGTATACCGTCGTCAAAATCTTTCTTTACAGGACAGGATAGCGTGTGCACGATAGACATACCGGAGAGGCGGCGGTTGCTACGCAGGCCCTGTCGGAATTTGGCGGCGGCCATGATGACGTTGCGTAGCTTGTTCCACATCAGGTAGCCGTTGCTGGTGGACGATGGCCACTTGCTCTCAAACAGTGCCTGGTGTGCGCGAGAAGAGAACGACGACAGATTACACAACACAGAACAACATTGTGTGACTGAACATCATATTATAGAACAACGCGCTTCAGTACAACATGCTATGCAAGCATGTTATGATCATATAGAGCGTTATGCTACAAAACAACACCATGCTATGAAATAATAATAATGTTATAAAACAATATTATGTCATAAAAAGACATTATGTTAAGGTTGGCATGAATATGCACACAAATCTATCTAAAGCCCAACTCCTGAAATTGTCATGTTTATAGGATAAGTACTAGTAATAACTAGCAGGAGCAGTTAGATATAATATATATATATATATAATAGGAATAGATTAGTAGTAATGATATAATAATAGTAATAATAATAGCAACAGTAATAGTAGCACTATTATAATTTATTAGTGTTTTACACTGATCTCGAGGATACCTTATTGTAGTAGCCATAGGTGATGGCGTTGGGGGACACTCCATGTTTCTTCATCTCAAAGAGTACCTTAACTGCCAACACTGGCATGTTGTACTGTCCACACAGCTGCATGACGACACGGTAGCACACCTGGTGGCATAAACAAACACTTACTCCTCCCGTACACTCTCCCTCTCCCCTTCTCCTTCCCTTCCCCTCTCCGACCTCTCTTTCACTATGTGTGTCTCGTTCTCGTTCTCATGCATGCAAACAGTTTTCCTTTCTCTCTCGTCTGTACATTTTCCTCGTTCACTTCTTACGCACCTCGTCAATTGTCTTCAACTTGGAATTCTGCATTCGGACGAGCACCTCATATGCGAGTCTTAGAGCTTTATGCTTGGAGTGCGAGTGCTTTACGTAGGCAGGCAGATGGATGAACCAGAGACTGTAGATGTAGCTCAACACACACCTGCAGGAAACAGCCAATGTACATGCATAGCAACATACGTAATAAACGAGTGCATAACTACATGCACCTACATGCTATACGCATGGACGCAGTTAAAACTACAGAAACATATGTACGTATCATATATAAATACACCTACAGAATATGTGTACGAGCATGAAAATCCACGCACAAACATGTGAATATATACGCATATAAGGAATATAAAAATATGGAAATTCACGCAAATACATAGAAGCATATATGTAGATGGAGGAAGATGCATGCACAAGTGAACACTCAAGCGAGTAACAAAATAAACGCTCGTACATGACAGCATGCGTAAAAATTTATATAAATTATTAAAATTACTGTATATGCCATATTTTTTGACTTGACGGACAATTTCGCGGTCGGTGAATTATGAATTATTCGGTATGAATTATTCGCGTGTTGTTCTTTTTGCGGTCGGGGACGCGTTCGCAAAATTAGCGAAAGTTAAACCACCGCGAAATATACAGCGTATACAGTAATATGTTTCCGTTCTGGTGGCTTACTGCCCAGTACATCATAGAACCGCGTGGGAGAGCACGCGCAAACACCCGCGAGTCACACCCACAGTCAGGACTTACTTTGCCCAGTACTCTGGCTTCGCCGCGTGTTTCTTCGCGACCTTCTGCGCGGTCTTCAGCTCCTGCTTCGTGCGCAGGATGACGGGGCTGCCCGGCACGACCCCGCTCTGCTTGACCGCTGAGATAACCGGCAGCCGCGGCCGCTCATGGAACAGTTCCTCATTCAGCTTGCTCGGAAACGATGTGTAGCTGAAAGCAGAGAGAGCGTGGCGCCGTCGTTTACGCTGCTATAACGGGGACTCTCCCATAACGGAGAAGCATTGTCACTTAATAAATACCACATATCACTAAGAATAGATATTTATCTTGTGTTAAATCCAAGAAATTAACTTACTTTCGAAATTTCCGATCTCCACATCCTGATGAAGATTTTCCGAAGGGAGATCGAAAATTTCGACAGCAAGTTAATTTCTTGGATTTAACACAAGATAAATATGAATTCATAGTTTTCAACAAAATCCAATGAACTTATTTCATTCGCATGCGATTAAGTGTAGCATCATTAGTATTTAGTGTCCATGGGATGTCCATGAGGTGGTTCAAGCTGCCAACGGGGACTTTCGCTTAACGAAGAAGTATTGTGACTTAATAAGTATCACATTCAGTGTAGCTTCACTCAAGAAATACAACCATTCGAGCACTGGTGAATGATATTTCTAATAATGTCCGCCTTCACATTCATAGTTTACTTATAGGGTACGATAATACTTTACTTATATTTATTTCTTGCGTAATCACACAATTTACATCTATCATACCTCGTTTAACAGATTTTTGTTTAGCACAGAAGGAATTTATTAACATGCCGTGTAATAGCAAACACAACTTTCAGGAAAAAATATTGTTGAAACCAATTATAATGTCTGCTGCCACATTTGTAGTGTCACCATACTATATTGACATATCCTCGATATAACATGTGCTTTATTTCATGTTAAACAATCCAAAGCATCAGCATAAACAGCAGGGTGTAATTACCCCATCTTACAAACATTTAGCAGACAAGCCTCTGAAACGTATCTGGTCTGTTGAATCAGATACAACATTGCATTCGGTGATTCCATATGAAACCGAAAAGCTGTCACTGTTATGCGCGCGCAGCCCCAAAAACAACATGGCCACCACCGCTGCCGCCTCACCTGTAGGTGACATCCGGTGGGAGACCATTGTTGTCCGGGGGAGTGATGAACACAGTGTGCTCGCTGATCTGTGACTCATCAATCTCCAGCAGACGCGTGTCTCGCTTCTCCAGGTAGAGGTCAACCTGCAAGGTCATAAATACGTCATTAATACGTCAGTAATACTTCATTAATACGTCATTAATACGTCATTAATACGTCATAAATACGTCATTAATACGTCATTAATACGTCATTAATACGTCATAAACACGTCATTAATACGTCATTAATACGTCATAAATACGTCATTAATACGTCATTAATACGTCATAAACACGTCATTAATACGTCATAAACACGTCATTAATACGTCATAAATACGTCATTAATACGTCATAAATACGTCATTAATACGTCATAAATACGTCATTAATACGTCATTAATACGTCATAAATACGTCATTAATACGTCATAAATACGTCATTAATACGTCATAAATACGTCATTAATACGTCATAAATACGTCATAAATACGTCATTAATACGTCATTAATACGTCATAAATACGTCACCCGCGACTCGTAACAACACGAGGGCGGAAACTAACTTAGGAGTGAGGGAGTCCATACGTGCTCTTACTTAAAAGGAGGGAATCCGTATGAAAATGAAAGAGATGATGGAGAAATGAGGAAGTTCCCTTCAACCGAGTGATGTTCAAAACAACTCTCTCACCTTCTCCACCATGTGCACCCCTCCTTCTCACACTGCCCCCCCTCCTTCTCGCACCGCGCGCCCCCTCCTTCTCTCACCTTCTCCATGCACTCGTCGAAGAAGGCGATGCCCGTGTCGTTGCTCGAGACGAAGCTGCACTCCTCGATGAAGCGGATGAAGCACTGCGTCTTCATCAGCTGCACGTAGAACTTGTGGTACGCTCGGTCGCGGCTCTTCTGGAACCCTGCGAGTCAGAGAGCAGCCTCGGTTGTAGCACGAGTACACACAGGGGAAGGCAGAGGGAGAGAGGGATGGGAGGGAGGGATGGAGGGAAGGAGGGAGGGAAGGAGGGAGGGAGGGAGGGAGGGAGAGATGTTGGAGAAAGAAACTGAGAGACAGAGAGAAATTGGAGAGAGGGAGAGAGGTGTGAAAGACAGTGTGAGATTTAGGGGGTTTAAGGAGAATTACATTGTCGGGGAAGAAATCAAGTGAGACAGCATCAGAGGGACACCATAACAATGAGCAAACAGAGCACGACTGCTAGGAATACACGCATACCTTGGTGGTCGAACAACGAGGCAGGGTCGGTGGTTCCCAGCGTGGGGGCGCCGGTGATGGGGAGCAGATATGTGCGATAACACTTGAGCATCTGTGCCATGAAGCACAGGAACACCTCCTGAATGGCTCGCTCCATCGCTTGCTACACGACGAAAACAAACGATATAACTCAGTATGTAAGGCAGGCAAGCAGAATCGATTTTGCAAGGATTTCGCAGCAAATCTATACGAATACATATAAATTACCTGGGAGAAAGACTTTTGTTGCGAGCACAACATTCATGGCGATACGTTTGCCTCATTTCACATTGTCTTTAAATTTGGCATCAGAATGCGCAGCTTTTGTGCTGATTTACAACAAACTTTTTCGAGACTAACACAACCACATTCAAACATACCGAAGACAGACACGCACGCACGCATGCACGCACGCACGCAGCCAAATCACAACTGTCTCCCTTTGATCAGTAGCAGGCTGTGCTTCTTACCTCTTTCTTTTTCCGTTTGAATTCCAGTTCAATGTCAAATTCGTCTGCTTTGTTTTCCTGCTTGCTCTTGCTCACTTCTAACCGCAGCTGCTCAAACAGCTCCTCTAGACTCTGCTTCAGCTGTCTTGCCAGTTTCTACGGCAACAACAACACATCATTATGAAATGCGCAGAATGTCTATAAAATCTAGTCTCATATTTTTTGTCTGGCACGCACAATTGTAAACGCAAACACTCATCTGTTTGTTGGGTATAGGAGATTAACCGATCTTGCACAATCCCAATAGCAATTGCTCTGCAACTTTCCAAAAAATAATAGTTCTTCACGCATTTCTTTCAAAGGCTAGAACCACTAAGGGAACATGAAGGGTACATGAAAACTCGAGAGAGATGAGTTTTACAACATAATAACTACCTTTGGCAGAGGCTTGAGCAATTTGCGTTCCTCTGTCCTGTGTAAAAAAAATTAAGAAAGAATAGCTTTAGAAATCATTCTCGTGCTAGCACACTTCCTTCTCATTTTAACTGGAGAGGAACAAGATTCTTTGAACATTCAGTCATGATATGACGAAATGCCGTCGTTACCATGCAAATGAATATCATATCATGATATAATAAGTTCCTGGGCGCACCACACAGTAGTGTATCTACCACATGCACTACATGTATCAGATACATGTGTGCGATGTACTGACAACACTACATGTCTTAGTGATGTAAACTCACAGCAAAATACATAAATCCGTATATAAAATAGATAGAACATATATGCAACATATATAACAACGTTTGTACGTGAAACGTAAAATGGCCACGCACGCTAGCATTGACACCAGTGCCACCTGCATTGACTAAATCGCCCAGACGACACCCGACTACTCACTGTGAGATTGTGTTCGTGTCCAGGTCAACACAGATGACCTCCTGTGGGGGGTCAAACAGGTCAAAGAAGCGGGAGTCAACACCTGCGCACAGAACGAGAAAATACTGTGTACACACACACAGACACTGCGACGTGGGTTGCCAACTACAGGGGTAGAAATTGAAATGAGAATAGAAGAAATAGAAATAACTTTTGAACAAGGGAGTCCGCAACAAAATGAGGGAGTCCGCAGTTTGAAGTTCAAAACTAAAGATATTAACAATAACGTGTGTGCGTATTTTGAAGATTCATGCAGTTGCACGTCTGCCAAATTGTCTTTGGACATTTGCTGAAAAAATATGGTAATTCCGCGAGGCTGTGCTCTGGAACGAACTAGTTAGTATAGCAAAATTTTCAGGGAGTCACACAGACTCCTGCATATGTCAAATCAGGGAGTCCGACAGAAAATCAGGGAGTATTTAACTCCGGACTCGCGTTAATTCTGCACCCTGCACACACGCGGACACTGCGACATGGATTGCCAACTACTGTACATAGGGTTCGTGCAGTAACGTCAGGATGTTTTTTCAGAACTTAGAAGGTTCAGGACCACGATATTTAAGGCAAAAATTGAAATGCAATGTTTTGTACATCATATTTTTCAATCAACAATTAACAAACAAACTCTTGCTTCGAACAAGTTTTGTTACTTCTTAGAAGTTAAACAGGGCCATCAGTTGAGTATGCTAAATGTGTTATTATCGTCAACAGAATGTGTACACAATAAACATGGGCTCATTGTTCCAGGCCTTTCCAGACCTGGGAAATCTCATTAGTTTAAGGACTTCAAACTAGGTGCTCCACAGCCTATACGAACCCTGATTACATTATACGGCGAGGCCACTGGATTCACATCGATACACTATTACTATGCATTGACAGGCCAGCAGTCAGCAGCCACCTGATAAAATCTGCAATGACCCACAACCGACTTCCATCATTATTGAGCGTCATATCCTTACACGTTTATTCATTACCACCCAAGTGCACACTCAACAATACGACGAACGCAGCGATTGATGCGTGCAATCGTGCGGGCATCAGGGGGGCGCTACTTACCGACAATGAAGGGCAGCGGGGCTGTGAGAACGTCGGAGAGGCCGAGCGGGCACAGCGGGATGTACGGACACTGCCAGTGGAACGGGAAGAACATCTGCAAACAGTAATAACAGGGTCAGAGCACCCACGGCTCCTCATGCCATACATCATACCCACCATACAGCTCTGCTCAGCCGATGCCTACTGCTACTGTTAATGTTAATGTTAATGTTATTACTTATAAGTGTTGTTACTGTTACTATTATTATTACGATTATGATGACGATGATGATGATGATGATGATGATGATGATGATGATGATGATGATTATTATTATAATCCACAGTAATATTAGTATGACCCTCCACACTCCACTAGCATACACATCACACCCCACCACTTCTCCTGCTCAGTATGGGAATTGGACATTACCACTCCCTCCCCTTCAGCAGAGGCACTGGGCATCCCCCCCCCCATCACACACACTGGACAACCCCCCCTCATCACACACACTGGACAACCCCCCCTCATCACACACACTGGACATCCCCCCC